TGAGCCTGGGAGTTCCTGACCAGCCTTAGCCACATAATGGAGACCCTTTCTCTACAAAAACTTAATAAAATTAGCTAGGCGTAGTGGTACAGGCCTGTAGTCACAGCTCCTCAGGCAATTGAGGTGGGAGGATCACTTCGGCCGGAGAAGGTGAGGCTGCGGTGAGCTGTGACTGTACCATTGCACTCCAGGCAAAAAAGCAAGACCCTGTCTCAAAAAAAAAAAAAAGTAAAACAATATATTCTGATTGTTTTACTTTCCTATTGCTGTGGTAATAAATAACCACAATCTTAGTGGCTTAAAACAACTCAAATTTAGGCCGGGTGCGGTGGCTCAAGCCTGTAATCCCAGCACTTTGGGAGGCCGAGGCGGGTGGATCACAAGGTCGAGAGATCGAGACCAACCTGGTCAACATGGTGAAACCCCGTCTCTACTAAAAATACAAAAAATTAGCTGGGCATGGTGGCGCGTGCCTATAATCCCAGCTACTCAGGAGGCTGAGGCAGGAGAATTGCCTGAACCCAGGGGGCGGAGGTTGCGGTGAGCCGAGATCGTGCCATTGCACTCCAGCCTGGGTAACAAGAGCGAAACTCCATCTCAAAAAAAAAAAAAAAAAAAAAAAAAAAACAACTCAAATTTAATATCTCATAGTTCTTTTTTTTTTTTTTTTTTTTTTTTTTTTTGAGACGGCATTTTGCCTTTGTTGCCCAAGCTGGGTAAGTCAAGGTTTCAGCCACATTTTGTTTCTTTTTGCAGGCTCCATGGAAGAGCTCCAGGTGTTGGCCAAATTCAGTTCTATGATGTAGGATTGAGGTCTGTTTCCTGGCGGTCAGCTGTAAGCCACCACTAGCTCCTAAAGTTCTCTCTTTGCCCTTGCACAAAAGCCCCCACATTTCAGAGGCAGCAACAGGGCATAGAATTCTTCTCATGCTTTGACTCTCTCCTGAGATTAGACTGGGTCCACCCAGATACTTCAGGATAATCTCATCTCCAGGTCCTTAACCTTAATTACGTCTGTATAATCCCTTTTGCCACCCTAAGGTAACATATCCACAGGTTTCAGGAAATTAAGGCATGGACACGTTTGGGAGGCCATTGGTTTGCTTACTATAATGAAGGACATAAACGAAAAAAGGACTTAAATGGTACATTTAAAACATGTCACATTCGGCTAGACACAGTGGCCCACGCTTGTAATCCCAGCACTTTGGGAAGCCGAGGTTGGTGGATCACCTGAGATCAGGAGTTAAGAGACCAGCCTGGCCAACATGGCAAAACCTCATCTATACTAAAAATACAAAAATTAGCCGGACATGGTGGCACACAGCTATAATCCCAGCTACTCAGGAGGCTGAGGCAAGAAAATTGCTTGAACCCGGGAGGTGGAGGTTGCAGTGACCCGAGATTGCACCATTGCATTCTAGCCTGGGTAACAGAGCAAGACTCTGTCTCAAAAGAAAAAAAAAGGGGTGGGGGGTGCTGGGCACAGTGGCTCATGCATGTAATCCCAGCACTTTGGGAGGCCAAGGCGGGTGGATCATGAGGTCAAGAGATTGAGACCATCCTGGTGAACATGGTGAAAACCCGGTCTCCACTAAAATACAAAAATTAGCTAGGTGTCATGGCACTGGCTTGTAGTCCCAGTTACTTGGGAGTCTGAGGCAGGAGAATTGCTGGAACCTGGGAGTCGGAGGTTGCAGTGAGCTGAGATCATGCCACTGCACTCCAGCCTGGTGCCTGGCGACAGAGCAAGACTTTATCTCCAGAAAAAAAAAAAAAAAAAGAAGGTGAGATTCTTTGCAGACTTTAACTCAGGTTGACTGTGTATGTTTTTAAGACAAATACAGCCAGGCGCGGTGGCTCAAGCCTGTAATCCCAGCACTCTGGGAGGCCGAGGCGGGTGGATCACGAGGTCGAGAGATCGAGACCATCCTGGTCAACATGGTGAAACCCCGTTTCTACTAAAAATATAAAAAATTAGCTGGGCATGGTGGCGTGTGCCTGTAATCCCAGCTACTCAGGAGGCTGAGGCAGGAGAATTGCTTGAACCCAGGAGGCGGAGGTTGCGGTGAGCCGAGATCGTGCCATTGCACTCCAGTCTGGGTAACAAGAGCGAAATTCCTTCTCAAAAAAAAAAAAAAAAAAAAAAAAAAAAGACAAATACACCAGCATTCTGCACCAAGGCAAAGTAATGCTTCCCACTGTTTCCAAAATCCTGTTAATATCCAGGATTTGCTGGGCACAGTGGCTCATGCTTGTAATCCCAGCACTTTGGGAGGCTGAGACAGGCGAATCCTTTGAAGTCAGGAGTTCAGCCTGGCTAATGTGACAAAACCCTGTCTTTACTAAAAATACAAAAATTAGCAGGGCATAGTGGTGCATGTCTGTAACGCCAGCTACTTGGGACACTGAGGCACAAGAATCGCTTGAACCTGGTATGCAGAGATTGCAGTAAGCCTGAGATCGCACCACTGCACTCCAGCCTGGGCAGCAGAGCAAGAATGTCTTAAAAAAAAAAAAATCCAGGGTTTTTCTGGTCACCATTTTTTAAGCACACATTTGACTGATACTGTGAACTGTCTACAGAGACTCCTTCCATCCTTTCCTATTCATAACCAAGAGCTCAAAACTATCAGGCCTCCATGAGCAAGCCCAGACCCAGAAAGTCTAAAGTCCTGCCTGCCTTGGGTGATCTCACCCCCACGCCACCCCACTCCACCCCACCCCACCCCACGCCACCCCACCCTCTTCTTTTCAAGGACCTGTCTCCTTGGCCCCATAACTGTTGGGGGAATTGATGGCAAGGCCTCCAGGCCTCTCAAAACTCCCCACGTCTGGTATCAATTAGGCCAGCACCTCTTTCCACATTCTTATCTAATCATTCCCACTTGTCCAGTTCACCTGTTAGGCCAAGATATCTTAGCAAAATTATCTGCCTCCTTCACTATTCCTGGGCTACAGCCACACCTCATTGCCTCCCTCTTTCCTGAACCCATACCTCCCTCAACAGCTCCCCTTATGTCCCCCTACCTTAACCCTAGGGTGTCAAACACCAGCTTCCCATCTGTTGCTACAAGTCACTCACTCCTCATCATCCCCTTAAAACCTAACCACTCTTACCCTGCCCAGCCCCAGTACCCAATCCCACAACAGGCTTTAAAAGGTATAAGCCTGTTATCACCCATCTATTGCAACATGGCCTTTTAATTCACCCTCCTGCTTCTTCAGCATCTGTACACAAAGGAGTATCATGTATCTGCTTCCAAAGCCAAAATTTCTTCCCCATCTGTTATACTCTTTCACCAGCACACACGCGCTCTCCCTGCCAACCGTACCCAGTTAATTTCCCAAACCCCAACCCCGTCCACCAAACGGCTTCTCTCCTTAGAGGGTGTGGTGGCTACTTTCACCTCTGGATACCAGGTTTTGCTGCTCTAACTAAGCCATTGTATAAACTCACCAAAGAAAACTTATTCATTAGCCAGGCATGGTGGTGGGTGCCTGTAACCCAGCTACATGGGAGGCTGAGGCAGGAGAATCGCTTGAACCTAGGCAGTGGAGGTTGCAGTGAGCAGATATGGTGCCATTGCACTCCAGCCTGGGCAACAAGAGCGAAACTCCGTCTCAAAAAAAAAAAAAAAAAAAAAAGAAAAGAAAAGAAAACTTATCCAACCCTATTAATCCTAAATCCTTTCCTCACGCCTCCTTTCGATCCTTAAAAACAGCTCTAAAAACTGCTTCCTCCCTAGCTCTCCCCAACTTTTCTCAACACTTTTCATTATATACTGCAAAAATCCAGGGCTTTGTAGTTGGGATTCTTACACAGGAGCCAGGCCCACCGACCGTGGGCTTTACTTACTTTCAGCCCCTCGCCTTCTCCACCTTTATGCAGTCGCCCCTACCACTTAAACCACACCTCAAAAAGTCTGTTTCTATTATTTTCTGTCTAACCGTGCTCAAATTCACTGTACTCATTTACTTTTACATGCCCTGCTTTTGTTTAAGTTGCCAGCTTACACTTTTCCTCCAGGCAATTACAGCTAATATTTCACTATTAATCTGGCTCCCATTCTCTGCTCCTACCCCGCTACAACCTTTAACAGCAGCAGCCCTTGCTGGTTCCCTTGGCATTCAGGTCCAAAGCTGGGATGGGGAGACGATTAGCCGAGGCAAGCAAGACTTCAGACTTTCAGGCTGGAGGCTTGCATATGGAGACCTGACACTTTATAACAACACGAAGTGTTTGAAATGCACCCCATTTGTAGATCCCTAGAAGTAAAACAGTCACCTTTGTTTACACTCTTAAACCTAGCACAGTTTTTGGAAGAGATAATCTCAGACTTCATTCGTTCTCCTAGATTAAAGATCAATTGTCTTTATTTTGTCTCGAGCTAGTCAAAACATAAGTAAAACACCTTTTCCAAGTTAATACTGCATTCCCAGGGATCTAGGGGTGTCCGGGGAGGGCGCGGTCTTCTTCCTGGCGGGGTGTGGATGGCGGTCGCCTTCTCCCAGCGCCGCGGGACCAGGACAGGAGGAAGCCGGGAAGGGTACAGGGACGCTCAGCCCAGATCTGCGGCTTGCCGGTGGGTGGCGGCTACCACCCAGTGGGCACCAGCCACTCAGACCGCCAGGGCTCCAAGCCCTCTCCAGCCTGCAGCCGTTCCTCTCCCTGCCCCACCCCCGCCCGGCACTAACATCCAGCCCCGCCCGGGCAATGAGGCTAGAGCCTGGTGTAGCGCCCCGCGGGGATATTCCATCTTTAGAGTTTTCTCGTGAGCCGGTGGATCATGCAATTATCTCAAACATGGGGGAGAAAAAAAAAAAAAAAAAAAAAAAAAAAAGCCAAGGGCGACGGGACACCAGGATGTACCAAGCACCGCCCTCTGGAGCTCCACCGCACATGCGCACCCTGTGGCGAGGCACAGGGCGGGGCTTGGGGAGGGAGGAGGCAGGGCAGTGATTGGGCGAGAGGAGAGCCACGCCCGCCGCAGCGCCGCCTCTGCGCATGCGCCGGGACCAGCTTCTGGTACTTTCGGCAAGTCTGCTGACGTATCCTCTGAGTGCGCGTCTGGACGTCGGAGCTGGAGGTTGTGGGATTCCTTCTTGGAGAGTAGGCACGAAAAGCCCCTTTTCATCCTACATTCCTGAAGGAAGGCGTCTGTTGGGCCTTTCTTTCAGTCGTGAGGGAGGCGCCCACAGCCTGCGGTAAGTTTTCTGAAGGGTCGACCTTGCAGTGGTCGCTCGGGAGTGAGGGTCAGGAGACGCGCCGGGCCGCCCGTTTGGGGAAGGCGGCGTTTCGATTCTGGGCTGCGGCGTCAGTGCGCTGAACGGAGTTTTTTTTTGTTTTTAAGATGGGGTTTCACCGTGGTGGCCAGGCTGGTCTTGAACTCCTGACCTCAGGAGAGGCACCCGCCTCGGCCTCCCAAAGCGCTGGGATTGCAGGCGTGAGCCAGCGCGCCCGGCCTGAGCGGTTTCTCGGGCCCGGCTCCTGCGCGGCCCGCGCGCTGGCTCCGCCTCCGGGAGGGCGGCCTGCCGTGGCTTCCGGGCGGCCGGGCGCCTCTTCCGGGACTTGATGTGGCTCGTTTTTTTCCGCTTGCTGTTTTAGGAAGTCCGGAGTTGAGGCCTGCGGGGTCTTTTCCTGAGAAAGCGCCGCGTGAAGCCGCGGGTGAAGATGTCCAACTACGTGAACGACATGTGGCCCGGCTCGCCGCAGAAGGATTCGCCCTCCACCTCGCGGTCGGGCGGGTCCAGCCGGCTGTCGTCGCGATCTAGGAGCCGCTCTTTTTGCAGAAGCTCTCGGTCCCATTCCCGCGTCTCCAGTCGGTTTTCGTTCAGGAGTCGGAGTCGGAGTCGGAGTTGGAGGAGCCGGTCACGGTCCCGTTCCAGAAGGCGCCACCAGCGGAAGTACAGGCGCTACTCACGGTCCTACTCGCGGAGCCGGTCGCGATCCGGCAGCCGCCGGTACCGAGAGAGGCGCTACAGGCTGTCTAGGAGATACTACCGGTCTCCTTCGCGGTACCGGTCTCGGTCCCGTTCCCGTAGCAGGTCGCGCTCTCGGGGAAGGTCGCCCTACGGAAGGGCGTACGCGATCGCGCGGGGGCGGCGCTACTACGGCTTCGGTCGCACCGTGTACCCGGAGGATTACGGCAGGTGGAGGGACAGATCCCGGACGAGGTCGCGGAGCAGAACTCCCTTTCGCTTAAGTGAAAAAGGTGCGTCACTTACCTTTCCGTGTTTGATAATCTATGGCGACAGTATAAAAGGAGACTAGGGAACCAAAATTGCTTTGTAGTTTTAAGTATTAGTTCCCGAAATCTTTTTCATTGGAGGAAAGGGGGAGGACATTATCTGTATGTAAATGGACATCGTTGTTTCCCTTTAAAGATCAACTGGATGTTAAATGGCTCAGGATGGAGGGAACCTATTTTCCTAGTGGCTGACTGTTCTTAGTGGGTGGAGCCTTCTAAATGTTACGATTAAGTTAGTTTCTAAGTTAATTATTGATTGGGAAGAACACATCAAAACAGCCTTTGGCCGGGCGCAGTGGCTAATGCCTGTAATCCCAGCACTTTGGGAGGTGGAGGCGGATGGATCAGGAGGTCAAGAGATTGAGATCGTCCTGGCCAACGTGGTGAAACCCCGTCTCTACTGAAAAAAGAAAAAAAAAAAATACAAAAATTAGCTGGGAGTGGTGGCGCACTCCTGTAGTCCCAACAACACGTTAGGCTGAGGCAGGAGAATTGCTTGAACCCGGGAGGCGGAAGTTGCAGTGAGCTGAGACCGCGCCACTGCATTCCCGCCTAGTAAGGCAACGTAGCAAGACTTTGTCTCCATTAAAAAAAAAAAAATTTTTTTTAGTAGACGTCATTATTGAACGAAATTGAATTGTCCAGTATCTTAAATGACTTACCGGGCCGGGGTGGCTCGTGCCTGTAATCCCAGCATTTGGGGAGGCAGAGGTGGGAGGTCACTTGAGGCCAGGCGTTCCAGACCAGCCTGGCCAACATAGTAGAGATACTATCTCTACTAAAAATACAAACTATTAGCTGGGAGTGGTGGTAGAAATACACTTTGGAAGTGTATCAGTATTAGTTCAGTAGTTCTGATAATTGAACCATATAAAGAATCTATTGCAGAAAACTCCGGTTTTCAGAAATACATCTTTGAAGAGAAAGCAAAATAATAATGACGTTGACTATTAACTAGAGAAAATTAAGTACAACGAAAAAATAGAATAACAGGACGTTCAGGCCTTTGGTCAGGAAAACAAATTGAGATAATTTAAGAATTTTATTCTTTTCAGCAGAGGTAGAAAATAGAATTTTCAGTGAATGAAATTACAGTTACCTCTCCGTTTCCTGGGGGGATTGGTTTCAGGACCGGCATGGAACCTCCGCACACTTGAGGTTTCCAGTCTCTCAAATACTGTAGTACTTTGCATTTAGGAGGAGGAAAACATCCAAGTATAAGTGGACCAGCACAGCTCAAACCAGGGCAACCTTACTTTATATGTTATAAAACAAATGACTTAACATACTTAATACCAGAAAATAACATCTTATTTTGTAATTCTGAGTTCTCTTGGGGGAAATAACTACCAGGTTAATGAGTATTTAAATTTATTTTTATTTTTAGATCGAATGGAGCTGTTAGAAATAGCAAAAGCCAATGCAGCAAAAGCTTTAGGAACAACCAACATTGAATTGCCAGCTAGCCTCAGAACCGTTCCTGTAGCCAAAGAAACAAGCCGTGGAACAGGTTTATCAAGTAATGGTGCAAAGCCTGAAGTAAGTATTCTAGGTTTGTCCTAACAAAACCTCCAGAAAGCCACTGTCAAATCTCATTAGCCATTTATTATTTACCTTAGACTGTAGTTTTTGGAAAGTCTAGCTGTATATGTAAAACGTGTTGAATTCAGAATAGCAGATCCTGGGTATGGCTTTGCCATACCCAGGAAAGTGGAGATTAATGAACTTAATTGGCCGTGTGTGGTGCCTCATGCCTGTAATGAGGCAGATAGCTTGAGTCCAGGAGTTCAAGATCAGCATAGGCAACCTGGCTGTGTCAATACAAAAATGGTGAGGCCGGGCGCGGTGGCTCAAGCCTGTAATCCCAGCGCTTTGGGAGGCCGAGGCGGGTGGATCACGAGGTCAAGAGATCGAGACCATCCTGGTTAACATGGTGAAACCCCGTCTCTACTAAAAATACAAAAAATTAGTTGGGCACGGTGGTGTGTGCCTGTAATCCCAGCTACTCAGGAGGCTGAGGCAGGAGAATTGCTTGAACCCAGAAGGTGGAGGTTGCGGTGAGCGGAGATCGCGCCATTGCACTCCAGCCTGGGTAACAAGAGGGAAACTCCGTCTCAAAAAAAAAAAAAAAAAAAATACAAAAATGGTGGCACATGCCTGTAGTCTCAGCTGTTTGAGAGGTTTAGGTGGAAGGATGTTTGAGCCCAGGATGCAAGGTTGCACCATTACATTCCAGCCTGGGCAGCAGAGTGAGACCCAATCTGAAAAAATATATATATATATTTTTGTTTTACTTTTTTTCAGTTAACACAGTACTGCTAGTCTCAACGTTAATATATTGTAGTTGGTACTTTGGTGATTTCTATTGCCAGTTTTTTAAAGTTAGTCTTTAGAGTACTAGTAGCTTTCATTTGCAGCATTATGTTCCCACAAATTTTGTACTGAGCATATACAGTATAGTTTATCTGCTTTATTTCTGTCTTATAGAAATCATGAATGTGGTCTGCAGACATTGATGAAGAAAATCTGTTGGTAATTGATACATGGGCTAAAACATCAGGTTTAACTTGAAGTGTATGTTCACACACTGAAAGCTTAGTTCTTTTTGTTGATCCATGTGCATGCTAGAATTTGGGTTAGGTACCATTTGCCTAAAGTATTAAAGTCAATTTTTAAATTAAGTAAAGGTACACATTGTAATGGTGGGGCATCTGTGAAATAGATGTCCCTTTCATAATATATGCAAATATATTCCAGATGTTTTGAGAGATTACAGAAGAGGAGGCCTGCTTCACTTGCAGATAAGTTTATTATAATTCTCCAGAAATGTGCAGGATGTGCATTAGCAAATTGCACTGTACTTTTAAGTTATAAAGATACCCTGTCTAGGCTGGGTGGCTCACGCCTGTAATCCCAGCACGGGGAGGCCGAGGTGAGTGGATCGCCTGAGGTCAGGAGTTTGAGAACAGCCTAGCCAACATGGTAAAACCTTGTTTCTAACTAAAAATACAAAGATTGCAGCCAGGTGCAGTGGCTCACACCTGTAATTCCAATGCTTTGGGGAGGCCAAGGCAGGTGGATCATGAGGTCAAGAGATTGAGACCATCCTGGCCAACATCGTGAAACCCCATCTCTACTAAAAATACAAAAATTAGCTGGGCGTGGCAGCACGTGTCCGTAGTCCCAGCTATTTGGGAGGCTGAGGCAGGAGAATAGCTTGAACCTGGGAGGCAGAGTTAGCAGTGAGCCACATTCATTGCACCACGCACTCCAGCCTTGGGACAGAGTGAAACTCCCTCTTAAAACCAAAACAGAAACCAAAAATTAGCCGGGCATGGTGTGTGCCTGTAGTCCCAGATACTGGGGAGGCTGAGGTTGGAGAATCACTTGAACCCATAAGTAGAGGTTGCAGTGAGCTGAGATCATGCCACTGTACTCCATCCAGCCTGGACAGCAGGGCAGAGTGAAACTTTGTCTCAGGAAAAAAAGATTCTACGATATCTAAATGAATCTGTAATTGGGCCCAGATGTGAGTGTGCTCAGTATTAATAGACAAGGTCTGTTTGTTCAGATGGGGGCCCAACTGGCAAATGCCTTAGTTTCTTAAAACGAGGTATTTTCTGGTGTGGCTTTACTTTTCAAAGGTTGATTCAACCTGAGAAAACTGATTAAAAAATTGTTTTTTAAATGAATTTGCCAGCAAGGAAATAAATTATGGAAAGAGTGTCTTAAGCCTATTAAATCAGTTTTTTTAAGGGGAAAACTCAGTTGTTATTTAGGCTGTTAAATATATGGTTAGATCCAACTTAATTTTTGTGTCTACAACTAAATTGTGTATACAATTAGCCTGTTCTTTAATACTGTACTTAGAAACCAAGGTTATGTGTTTTAAAATTATACTTTTTCTTAACCTGTCTAGCTGTCGGAAAAGGTAACGGAAGATGGAACTAGAAATCCCAATGAAAAATCTTCCCAGCAAAGAAGCATAGCTTTTAGCTCTAATGTAAGTGTATGTCCAAGCATTGATCACTCAAAAATTGGTTTTAGGTTGTATTTGCATCTTTGTGTTTTATATCTCCGTGGTGATAATTGGGGGACTACTGACACTTTAAATAGAAATAATTTGTTTTTGAGCCACTTTTACAAGTAACCATTATAATGGGTTCTTACCATATTTTCACGAGTTTTGTTATTTTGCCATTGTTTTAAGTAGCCCCCACTTTTTTTTATCGTTGAAATATTTTAAAGGTAAATCTTTAGAATACTCTGATCAGAGTGTTTTAAAATAAGAGTTTCAAAAACAAAGCTTCAGTCCTTATACCATGTGTATACCTGGTGTCTCCCCATTACCCCAGTATCTTTTTACGGTTTGAATCACATTACAATTAAGGCTCACACTGCATTTGTTTGATAATATCTTTAAGGCCCATACATGGGATTATTTAATGTATTTTTTTGTGAAAAAATAGGTACAATATATGTGTTTGGAAAGCTGACTGAATTTGTTTTCTTACAGAATTCTGTAGCAAAGCCAATACAAAAATCAGCTAAAGCTGCCACAGAAGAGACATCTTCAAGATCACCAAAAATAGATCAGAAAAAAAGTCCGTATGGACTGTGGATACCTGTCTAAAAGGAGAAAAACTAACGGCTAAGTTTGCATGAAAACTGCACTTTACTGCAAGTTAGTGTTTCTAGCATTATCCCAGCCCTTTGAGCCATTTAAGGGTAATCCCGCATTTAAAAACCAACACAAAAAGATGTAAATACTTATACTCAAATATTAACCTTTTAGGTTTCTCTTGCAGATATGAGATAGCACAAATGGACCAAAGGTTATGCACAGGTGGGAGTCTTTTGTATATAGTTGTAAATACTATTGCTTATGTAAAAGTGAAATTTTATAGACAGTATTGAACTGTATTGCTGTTTTGTATATTTAATAAATTTGTTTTCATACTTAAAGTCTTTGTTCTATATCTGTTACCTAATGAGTCTTTACAAGGAGACATCTGTTGATTAAAGCCTTGTTAATCTCAAGTCCAAGGCTGAGTGGCCCTACCTGGGGTTTTGAGGACTGCTAAATCTCAAGTCCGTACCCTAGACCTGATGAATTTGGAACTGAATTTTAGCAGTCTTCCCAATTGAAGTCAATACTTCAACTTGAAAAATTGCTTAAACTCTTAATTTGAAATTTCTTAGTGCTACTGTGACTGGGAAGGATCTTAAGCACAAAAAACTTTAAGTGGGCATTACACTTAAGAACTGTAAAGGTTAGACAGCTGGTCTAAATAAATGAGACTGATTTTTATAGATGAATAGACTAATTTTAGAGGTGGGGGTCTTTGCTTTATCACCCAGGCTGGAGTGCAGTAGAACACCCACAGTTGACTGCAACCTTGAACTCCAGGGCTCTGGCAATCCTGCTTCAGCCTCTACCATACAGGTTTATGCATTAATACCTGGCTAATTTTTTTTTTTTTTGGTAGAGATGGGTGGGGTCTCTTGTTACCTAGGCTGGTGTCAAACTTCTGGCTTTAAGCAATCCTGCTTCGGCCCTAAAGTGTAGGGATTACAGGCCTGAGCCAGCCACTACCTGGCCTAAAATAATACTTTGATTAAACGTTTTAACTTTCTTAGAACAAGGGTATTTGGTTTTTGAAGGATGGCATTTTACAGAATGCCATTAGATATCAGTCTCCATGGGTTTGTCCCCGTAAATAGACTTGAGCTGTGCAATGGAGCATGGAACAGGAAAGTACCTGTAATTGTGACCACTTCCGGGGAAGAGGGACCAGGGTGAATTTCCAGTAGCCATTGTCACTATATAGCTTGCAAAAAAGTCAGCATCCTACCTCTGAAGCTCCCAAGTTCAACTCTAGGTCAAGCCAGATGTACCACAAATTTGACAATGACTTACGTGTTTGTAGCTAAGAATTTTAAGTCCAGTAGTCTTCACACATTAAACAGAAGACAAGTGAGTAATATACAGACAAATGTGAAAACACACACATCAAAACATCTCTTTACAAGTGACAAACACGTGTTTGGCCAGGTGGCAAGTCTGAGCCGGCCTCGAGACTGCATCCGTTTCCAGCGCAGCGGCCGGGATTTGCGCTGTCTCCGTCCGTGCTTCTGGGCGCCGTGAGGAGAGGGTCTTCAGGCGCGGCGGCTCGGCTTCGCGGACAGCCCCGGCCAAGGGCTTCCGCCGTCGACCCAGCCTCACTGTCTGCGCCTCCTTCGCCTCCCGCATCGCCGCCGCCTCTAGGACGGACCTAGCCGCAAACGCCCCAGCTCGCCATCCCCGGGCAAAGGCCTGCCACCCATCTTAGCTATCGTCTCCGCCATGCCCTGGCAACGCTTCCCCCCACTTCCGGTAACGACTGCGACCCCGGAGCTCACTTCTGGCTACCAGGCCGCCGTGCTTTTCCGGAGGTAACGCGGCTCTTCCTGCGGGGAGCTCTAGAGCAGAGAAGGCAGCCCCCGCCCTTGGCAGCCCTGGGCTGTGTCCGACTGGGCTAGGCCTGTGCGCAGGCGCATTGGGTGGAGAGACCTGGACCTGTGCGGGAGATTCGAGGATGCCGAGAGCAAGGTTCTCAGTCAACCTGGGTGACAGAACTTATCTCAAAAACAAAACAAAAACCTGGAGGCAGACGTGTCCCCCTCCTTCCTCAGATTTCCTTAAATGCCTTTTTTCCGGGAAGCCGGCTCACGACTTGAGAAGTCAGTTTCCCCTGTTACAGCTCTTCTTACATTTTTTTCTCTGCAGCACTTAACATAAACGTAATTCAATAAATGTGGAATTGCTTGTTTAATGTAGCTAACTTTTTTTTTTTTTTTTTTTTGAGACGGATCTTGCTCATTGGGTCCAGGCTGAAGTGCAGTGGTGCGATCTAAGCTTACTACTACCTTCAACCTCTGCCTCCCGGGTTCAAGCGATTCTCCTGCCTCAGCCTTCTGAGTAGCTGAAATTACAGGAGCCCACCACCACACCTAAGTTTTGTATTTTTAGTAGAGACTGGGTTTCACCATGTTGGTCAGGCTGGTCTGAAACTCCTGACCTCAAGTGATCCGCCCACTTTGGCATTCCAAAGTGTTGGAATTAGAGGCGTGAGCCACTGGACCCTGCCTAATGTAGTTAATTTAAATGAGACGTTTCTTAACCTCTAATAAAATGGCAAATATTTGGCCAGGCATGGTGGCTTACTCCTGTAATCCCAGCACTTTGGGAGACTGAGGTGGAAGGATTACCTGAGCCCACGAGTTCAAGACCAGCCTAGGCAACAGAGCAAGACCCAGTCTCTACCTCCAACCCTGCAACTCCCCCAGAATTGATATATTAGCTGGGCATGGTGGCATGTGCCTGTAGTTGCAGCTACTTGGGAGGCTGAGGTGGGAGGATCCTCTGGGAGACAAAGGTTGCAGTGAGCCAAGATTGTGCTATTACACTCCAGCCTGGGCAACAGAGCAAGACCTTGTCTCAAAATAAATAAATAAATAAATAAAAGCAAATATAGCAAAGTAACAGGTTTTTTCTATGTTATAGATTATTTGATAGAACAATCTTACAGGTATTTACAGTCTTTAAGAATATAAAAATGTCAATTATGAACCAGGCATGGTGGCTCATGCCTGTAATCCCAGCTACTCAGGAGGAAGAAGCTAAGGACGGAGGATCACTTGAGGCCAGGAGTTTGAGACAAGCCTGGGTGACACAGTGAGACCCTGTTTTTTTTTTTTTTTTTTTTAGAGACGGAGTCTTGCTCTGTCGCCTAGGCTGGAGTGCAATTGCACAGCCTCGGCTCACTGCAACCTCTGCCTCCTGGGTTCAAGTGATTCTCCCGCCTCAGCCTCCTGAGTAGCTGGGACTACAGGTACATGCCACCACACCTGGCTAATTTTTGTATTTTAGTAGAGACGAGGTTTCACTATCTTGGCCAGGCTGGTCTCGAACTCCTGATCTCGTGATCCACCTGTCTCAGCCTCCCAAAGTGCTGGGATTACAGGCATGAGCCACCGTGCCTGACCGACCCTGTCTCTTAAAAATAAAGTCAAATTATAAAATTATTTTTTAGTGAGATCACATCAGAATTACAGGTTTTGAAAGTCATGTTACTAGGCTTACATACTGTAAGTAATTAGGGAGTGCTTAATAAAGGGACTGCTTACAAAGTTGTAGACTCTAAGAAAAACCAAAGAGTGAGGCATGCCAGGGATAGCAATAGGGGGATCCATCACTACTACTATCTCTAAAGAGGCAAAAGGCGGCAGCAGCAATGGGAACCCAGAAGGTGTAGGGATAAAAGTCTTTAGACAGAAGTGGTGACTACAGAAATATACCAAACCCGTAATCCAGCCAGGGAATAAACACCTTGACCTCATTTCTTCCAAACCTCTGCTCTTCCACAGGTACTATGCATTGGCAGGACCCAAGAAGGTAAAGGGCAGGAGTTTACTGATGCAGTCCATTCAGGCCAGCACTCAGGGGCACAGAACATGGAGACCAGTGAAGAGTAGTTCTAACAGGGCAGACAAAGTATCTAGCACAGTTTTTGTTTTTCAATAAAACATGGCAACAGTTAAAAAAATTGGAGTCTTTTTTTTTTTTTATAACTTGGTTCCAGTGAAAAAAACTGGAGTCTTATAAAAAATCTGTTCAAATTATATTTATACATAGTTATTAACAAAGAACAGAACAAGTGATATGTCTAATTGAATTTTTCTAGATGCCAGAAGATCGTCCATCCTATGTGCTATTCTTACAATGTGACATTGGCACTCCTTCCATCTAGAAGTAGAGTCTGTGTCCCTAATCCTTGAGTCTGTGACTATGGAGGGAGTGACACTATGTGAATTCTGAGACTAAGTCATAAAAAGTGAAATAGGTTCCACCTAGTTCTCTTGGGATACTTGTTCTTAAAATCCAGCCACCATGCTTTGAGGAATTCCAGGCCAATGCAGAGGCCAGGTGTGGGTGTTTAGGCAGACAGCCAACATCAACCACTAGACTTCTGAGTGAGGAAACCTGCACAGTGATTCCAGCCCCAACCCCTAATCTGACTGCAACCGCATGAGAGACCCTGTGCGAGAACCCCCACCAATTCTCAGAACTATGAGAGATAATAATAAAATAGTATTTTGTTAAGGTACCAAGTTTTGGAGTGATTTGTTATGCCACAAGAGATAAATGATACAGTTCAGAACAGTTTTTTCCCATGAGCCACACTCTTGCCCTGTCACCTAAGCTGGAGTGCAGTGGCATGATCTCAGCTCACTGCAACCGCCTGCCAGGTTCAAGCGATTCTCCTGCTTCAGCCTCCCGAGTAGCTAAGACTATAGGTGCACGCTGCCACGCCTGGCTAATATTTTGTATTTTTAGTAGAGATGGGTTTTCACCGTGTTGCTCAGGCTGGTGTCCAATTCCTGAGCTCAGGCAATCTGCCCACCTTGGCCTCCCAAAGTGCTGGGATTACAGGCGTGAGCCACAGCACCCAGCCCAGTTTTTAAAAATCACACAAATTACATTGCACAGAAAAGCAAGTTGAAAATCATATGATTATTCTTAATATATCCTTATAAAATTAGTTGTTGAGCAATTTTTACCACACATAATATTCTTTCCTTTCTATATTGCTTCTTTTATCACTTCCAGAAATTTCTTTACTTAATTAAGAATAATTATTTTTCTTTTTTGAGATGGAGTCTTGCTCTGTCACCCAGGCTGGAGTGCAGTGGCACAATCTTGGCTCACTGCAACCTCTGCCTCCTGGCAGAGTAATTCTTTGCCTCAGCCTCCCAAGTTGCTGGGGATACAGATGCCTGCCACCAAGCCTGGTTACTTTTTGTATTTTTTTGTTTGTTTGTTTGTTTGTTTTTTTTTGAGACGGAGTTTCCCTCTTGTTACCCAGGCTGGAGTGCAATGGCGCGATCTCGGCTCACCGCAACCTCTTCCTCCTGGGTTCAGGCAATTCTCCTGCCTCAGCCTCCTGAGTAGCTGGGATTATAGGCATGCGCTGCCATGCCCAGCTAATTTTTTGTATTTTTAGTAGAGACGGAGTTTCACCATGTTGACCAGGATGGTCTCGATCTCTTGACCTCATGATCCACCCGCCTTGGCCTCCCAAAGTGCTGGGATTACAGGTGTGAGCCACCGCACCCGCCCTAATTTTTGTATTTTTTATTAGAGTTTCACCATCTTGGTCAGACTGGTCTTGAACTCCTGACATTGTAATATACCCACCTCGGCCTCCCAAAGTGCTGGGATTACAGACAGGAGCCATCATGCCCAATTGAACATTTACATTTTTTTTAAGGCCAGATTTGCAGATTTTAATTGGCAGTATAAGCAAATTGGTAATATAGAGGTCAATTTTACTGGCAGGAACAGAGAAAAGAATGAACAGAACTTTTTTTTTTTGAGATGGTGTCAGGCTGAAGTGCAGTGGTACGATCAGGGCTCACTGCAGCCTTGACCTCCCAGGCTCAAGGGATCCTCTCATCTAAGCCTCTCAAGTAGCCAGGACTTCAGGGGCAGGCCACCATGCTTGGCTAATTTTTTTATTTTGTAGAGATGAGGTCTCACTATGTTGCCAGGGATGGTCTTGGACTCCTAGGCTCAAAGGATTTTCCTGCCTTGGCCTCCCAAAGTGCTGGAATTATAGGCCTGAGTCAGCGTGCTCAGCCAGGATTCTCAATAGCAGTAAAATAAGAAGGATACAAGCACTACTCATCCCCAATAAATATTGGATTTCCTGGACAATCTGAGAGACACAAAACCACATATAACTGTTTTAATTTTCATTTCTGGACTGTTGGTGATGTTGTTTTTCCATATTCTATAGGAAACTAGTTTTGTTTTGTGCAGATTTAGGCCAGTCATGCAAGCACTATGTATCACTTTTCCACTGAATCTCATTATAAATTTTATATTGTTTTGTTGATTTATATGTTATTTCCTGTGCAAGTATTGTATTGTTTTCATTACTAAAGACATTATTAAGCTTTAATTCCTCATAAGACAAGCCCCTCCTTAGTATTTTTTTTTTTTAATTTTTGAGACAGGGTCTCGTTTGGTTGACTAGGCTGGAGTGTGGTCCCATGATCATAGCTCACTGCAGCCTCAAACTCCTTGGGGCTCAAGTAAACCCTCACTTCAGCCTGCCAAGTGTCTAGTACTACAGGTGTACACCCCATGTCCAGCTAATTTTTCTAAGTTTTTGTAGAGGCAGAGTCTCACTGTGTTGCCCCAGGTGGTCTTGAACTTCTGAGCTCCAGTGATTCTATTTTTTATTTAGAAATACTGTTGACTGCCAGGCGCGGTGGCTCAAGCCTGTAATCCCAGCACTTTGGGAGGCCAAGGCGGGCGGATCACAAGGTCAAGAGATCAGACCATCCTGGTCAACATGGTGAAACCCCGCCTCTACTAAAAATACAAAACATTAGCTGGGCGTGGTGGCGCGTGCCTGTAATCCCAGCTACTCAGGAGGCTGAGGCAGGAGAATTGCCTGAACCCAGGAGGCAGAGGTTGCGGTGAGTCGAGATCGCGCCATTGCACTCCAGCCTGGGTAACAAGAGCGAAACTCCATTTCAAAAAAAAATAAAAAAAAGAAATACTGTTGGCTATTCTCAGTTTTTCCATACAAACTTTAAAAATCATTTTTAGAATTCAAATTAAATTATTATTTTTAAAGATGGGGTTTTGCTATGTTGCCCAGGCTGGTGTCGAACTCCTGAGCTCAGGCAATCCACCCACCTCAGCCTCCCAAAAGTGCTAGCATTACAGGCGTGAGCCACTATGCCTGGCCTGAATTTAAATTTTTTAAAAATTTTATTTATGTATTTTTTGAGATGGAGTTTCAACTCTGGCTGCCCAGGCTGAAGTTAATGGCATGATCTTGGCTCACTGCAACCTCTGTCTCCTGGGTTCAAGCGATTCTCCTTCCTCAGCTTCTTGAGCGGATAGGATTACAGGTGCCCACCACCATATCCAGCTAATTTTTTTTGTATTTTTTGGAGAGACTGGGTTTTGCCATGTTGGCCAGGTTGGTCTTGAACTCTTGACCTCAGGTGATCTACCTGCCTCAGCCTCCTAAAGTGTTGGGATTACAGGCGTGAGTCACCTTGCCTGGCTGAAATACTTATATGGTTCAAAAGTACATACATCTTATTATACCCCCAAAACAGATAATAACTTTTTTTTTTGGAATGGAATATTACTCTGTCACCCAGGATGGAGTGCAGTGGTGTGATCTGCGATCTCTGCTCACTGCAACCTCCACCTCCGGGGTTCAAGCAAATCTGCCTCAGTCTCCCTAGTAGCTGGGATTACAGGCACCCGCCATCAAGCCTGGCTATTTTTTGTATTTTTAGTAGAGATGGTGTTTCACCATGTTGGTCAGGCTGGTCTCGAACTCTTGACCTCAGGTGATCTGCCTGCCTTTGTCTGTCCTTTGTTCACAAGGAAATTCCTTGTGAGGAAAGTATGTAGCTTTTGTATCTTAGTGGCTTTTTAAAGTATAGAAAGGGAGGCAGGTTTGCCCTAAGCAGTTCCCAGCTTGACTTTTCCCTTTGGTTTAGTGATTTTGGGGTCCTAAGATTTATTTTCCTTTCACACATGTGTAATTGTATCTGTAACATAAATTTCCAGAATTACAAGAGCTGAGTCAAAGAGTAAATGCCTTAATTTACAGATACTGCCAAATTGCCTTCCCTAGGGGTTGAGTCAATTTTTAGTCCTACCACCAATATGTGTAGGATTCATGTTTCTTCGGCCTTACCAACACAGTGTGTTGTTAAACTTTAAGATTTTTGGTACATTATCTTCTAGTTCCAAAAAAACAAAAAACAATGACCCATTGAGATTCTGATGGGAATAACATGACATTAATAAACTCATTTGACAACAGAAATTCCATTTGACCCAGCAATCCCATTACTGGGTATATATCCAAAGGATTATAAATCATTCTATTATAAGGACACATGCACACAAATGTTCGTTGCAGCACTGTTTACAATAGCAGAGACTTGGAACCAACTCAAATGCCCACTGATGATAGACTGGACAGGGAAAATGTGGCACATATACACCATGTACTACTATGCAGCCATAAAAAATGATGAGTTTGTGTCCATTGTAGGGACATGGATGAACCTGGAAACCATCACTCTCAGCAAACTGACACAAGAACAGAAAATCAAACACTGAATATTCTCACTCATAGGCAGGTGTTGAACAATGAGAACACATGGACACAGGGAGGGGAGCATCACACACTGAGGTCTGTTGGAGGGGATCTAGGGGAGGGACAGTTGGGGATGCGGAGCTGGGGAGGGATAACATGGGGAGAAATGCCAGATATAGGTGATGGGGAGGAAGGCAGCAAACCACCTTGCCATGTATATGCCTATGCAACAATCTTGCATGTTCTTCGCATGTACCCCCAAACCTAAAATGCAATAAAATATAAAAAAACACAAAGCCCAAAAACTCATGTAAGATGCTCCTTTGTGATATTGTTTTTACAATATTAAGTATTCCAATCAGAAAACAGGTTAGCCATCATTTATTCAGATTTAATTCAAATTATTTACCATTTAAACTTTGTACCTATATAGCATTTCTTTTTAGGGATTACTTTTTCATCTTTTTTTTTTTTTTTTGAGGCGGAGTTTCGCTCTTGTTACCCAGGCTGGAGTGCAATGGCGTGATCTCGGCTCACCACAACCTCCGCCTCCTGGGCTCAGGCAATTCTCCTGCCTCAGCCTCCTGAGTAGCTGGGATTACAGGCATGTGCCACCATGCCCAGCTAATATTTTGTATTTTTAGTAGAGACGGGGTTTCACCATGTTGACCAGGATGGTCTCGATCTCTCGACCTCGTGATCCACCCGCCTCGGCCTCCCAAAGTGCTGGGATTACAGGCTTGAGCCACCGCGCCCGGCTTTACTTTTTCATTTCTACATCTAACTAGTAGTTGTTAGTGAAAAAAAAAAGAAAATAATTTTCATGTATTCCTCTTGTATTCAGCACCTTACTGAATTATCTTATTAACTTTAGCACTGTTATTAATGCTGGCATTGCCTCTCTGCTGGGCAGGTAAGAGTGAACAAGAGGGGCGGACCCTGCTGTTCTGTAGCAATAATGCTGATGAAGGAAATGAAAAATGAACAGATAAAAAGAAAACGTATGCAATTGAAGAGAATTAAAGTCCAGGCGTGGTGGTTCACGCCTGTAATCCAAGCACTTTGGAGGCCAAGGCGGGCGGATCACGTGAGGTTGGGAGTTCAAGACCAGCCTGACCAACATGGTGAAACCCCGTCTTAAGGAAAAAAAAAAAAAAAAAAAAAAAGAGTTAAAGTAGTCAAATGACAGTACCAAAAGTGAGACAGGGTAGTCAGGGAAGACCTGCTTCTTTTTATTTATTTTTTCAGATGGAGTCTTGCTCTTATTGCCCAGGATGGAGTGCAATGGCAGGATCTCGGCTCACTGCAAACTCTGCCTCCCGAGTTCAAGCAATTCTCCTGCCTCAGCTTCCCTAGTAGCTGGGATTACAGGCGCCCACCACCACACTTGGCTGTTTTTTTAGTAGAGCGGGGTTTCGCCATGTTGGTCAGGCTGGTCTCAAACTCCTGACCTCGTGATTCGCCACCTTGGCCTCCCAAAGTGCTGGAATTGAACTCCTGGGCTCAAGCAATCCTCCGGCCTCGGCCTCCCACTGCTGGGATTGCAGCCATGAACCACCACACCTGGCCAAGACCTGCTTCTTGGAGGTGACAATAGGTTAAGCTCTAAATGGAAAGAAATTTCTACTCATGGGAATGAATCCCACCCAGGTTCTTCCGGTCCACTGCTGACAAAACCAACTCATTAAGTGCCTACTGCTTAGCACTATACAAAATGCTACTGCAGTAGAGTTGTATTAACATGAGGCTGGCCTCAGGGACGAAGAGTTACCACTCAAGTGTTTTCCGGAAGGCTCAGCTCAGAGGTTAGGGTTTTCAGAGTTTGGTGTGGGCAGGGGACTAGGGAATGGGTGCGGCTGACTGGTTGGAGATGCTATTCGCCCAGTTAGCAGCACCCTGAGTCCGCCTTTGGGTGGAGGAGTGGGGCAGAAGAACCGACTGGGTCATGAGTCACGAGTCTGGGTGGGGTCAGTTAGTAGCCAGAATGCGAAACTCTGAAGAATGTCTCAAAAGACCAATCTTAAGTTCTACAATAAGGACGTTAACTACAGGAGTAACTGGGGAAGTCACACATCCGATGTCCTCCGAAACAATAGCTGGTTATCGTTCAACTACATTTTAGCAGAATTCAGGGCCCTCTCGGAATCCTAACCTCCTGGTCTTTCATTAGTTTTACATAGGCAGTTTCAGCCCCTGAACAGGGAGGGGGCCCGTTTAAAGGAGGGACTATGATCATTTGCTTAAAAGTTAAACTATAAATTCTCCCATGTTTAGCTTGGCTTATGCCCAGGAATGAGCGAAGACAGCCAGCCTGCCAGGCTAGAGGCAAGATGGAGTCTCACGGTCTTTGCAAAGGCGTTTCCAGGAACAGCGTGCAGAGTAGATGATTTCCTACCAGGGTCCTTTTGGTCATTTCTTCCTAGCTGTCCGATTCTGAGCTTTTCCCGACACTTTTCTTGGCGACTCATCTACCCGTCCTTGCCCCAGCTGCTTTCCGCGGCGGCGCAAGACCCTGTACAACCCAAAACGTTCCACAGCTAAAACGGTTCCAACTTCCGGAGGCCGCCCGGAAGGGGCGGGGCTTATAATAGTCTTCAATACGAATCGGCCTGGTTGTCTGAAGGCTGGCGGAAGTGCTCTGTGTTGTTGCCGGAAGTGGGAAGAGAGGTTGCGATGGCGGCTGTCGCTGCATCGGAGGTGAGTTCGACGACCCTACACCGGGGGTTTTGTTGCTGAGGGTGCCGGGGAGCGGCTTGGGAGAGAGGTGGAGGCGAAGTCTAGTTTCGCTTCAGGTCGGCGCAGACACTGTGGGGTCGAGTCGGCGGTCGAGGCCCTAGGCCCAGCCTGTCGGGGCCGGCGGGGACTCGGCCTGGGCCGTCCCGGGAGAAGCCGAGCCGGCTCTGCCTGAAGCCAGTTCTCCTCGCCGCAGGTGCTGATGGACAGCGTGAAGGAGGGGTCCCCAGCTGCGGCGGCGGAGTTGGCCGCTCAGAAGCGCGAACAGAGACTGCGCAAATTCCGGGAGCTGCACCTGAAGCGGGTGAGTAGTCTTGGAGGCCGGCTCAGATCGGTCACTTGGCCAGGGCCAGGCGCTTTTGTAGAGGGGGCGAGAAAATCACACCACTGCATCTGACAGACCCACAGAACCGGATCATCCGAGATGAAAGCCGTATCCGGTGGTACTCAACCCTGGCAGCACATTGGGATCATTCTGAGAACATTTGAAAATACACCTGTTCACTCCAGACCCCCTCCCGCGCACATCCAATGTAATGTATCTGGGTTAGGTTTGGGCGTCTCTATTACTAACAACTTCTCTGCTCTGTGATTCTAATAAATTCTTGATTTTACCTAGGGAAATACGTAGAGCTAGAGACAGGAAGAAACTTGTATGGTGTCAGTAGGAGATCTGGTTCACTTTATTTAAAAAATAATAATCTTATGTCAGAATCTGTTTGAGAAGAAGGAAAGAAAATCATCTGTCTCTAGGACTTCTGGGGGAAAAGAAGAAAAAAGAAAAGAAAAAAAAAAATGAGCAAACCTTTGAAAGTCTACAGGTGTGGTAGTTCAGTCAGTTGATAGGGAATCGGATGTTTAGGTGCCCTGGAAGTGCCGAGGAGAGATGCATGCAGTTTGTAGGTCTCCAGGGAGTACCTCATGTAATAGGTGACACCTAAACTACTGATTGAAAAGTGTATTATTATCAGACAACTAAAGCAGAGGGGGCAAATGCAAAGAAAGATAATTCGTATTAGGGATAAGAGCCCAGCAAATAGCTGGCTGCAGTTGCAGTAGAGGAAGAGAAAAGCAGCCCCCATTTCAGCATGGAGTGACCTGACACCTAGGCCATGGTTTCACAAAATCCCACAATCACTCTGACTGTTGTAGTGAGACAAAGAAGACTTTTCAAATCACAAGAAGGACCACACATCTCTCTCTTCTGGCTAACACCAGTGACTGTTATTACCAAATACAACTTTAGTCTCACTCCATTACTCCTGCCTCATGTATAAAAATTTAAGATACCTAATTATAGAATGCCCCTGCTTTCTGACCGTACCCAATCCAGATCCTTAACCCTCCCCGCAGTCACCTGATACAAACCCAAATCCTGGAATAAGCCCCTCCTAACACCCTGTCACTCAAACCCCATGGGGTTCCCTGTGGTTTGCTCTCTTCTATGCAACAAACTGAACTTTGTTGACCAGAGGTGTGTGTTCTTGGTGTCTTTAATTGGAGGGCTTTTCCAGACCCAAGAATATACTAGGGATGGTAGTTGGGAGGAGTAGCTCTCTTTGCCTAGGAAAAGTTAATAAACAATTAAAAAGGCATGCTTAAATATTAGAGTGATTGTGTAAGGAACACATGTCTGGAAATTAGGAGACAGGGCTTCCTGGACAAAATGCCACCAGCTTATGACTTAAAAAGTGTTTAAATGTCTAACTTAAGTTTTCCTTAAGATGATATACTCATTTTGGTTTTATGCAATTAAGTGTATTTAAAAATAGATTCTTCTCCCCAACACCTCAGCTCAAAAAAAAAAAAAAAAAAAAAAGACACTTAAATGGTACTTCAAATGGATGGAAAGTTCCCTTTCATTTTTCATTTGTCAATGTAAATTATTTTTTTTATTTTATTATTATTTTTTTTTTGAGATGGAGTTTCGCCCTTGTTACCCAGGCTGGAGTGTAATGGCGTGATCTCGGCTCACCGCAACCTCCGCCTCCTGGGCTCAGGCAATTCTCCTGTCTCAGCCTCCTGAGTAGCTGGGATTACAGGCACGTGCCACCATGCCCAGCTAATTTTTTGCACTTTTAGTAGAGACGGGGTTTCACCATGTTGACCAGGATGGTCTCGATCTCTCGACCTCGTGATCCACCCGCCTCGGCCTCCCAAAGTGCTGGGATTACAGGCTTGAGCCACCGCGCCCGGCCAATGTAAATTATTAAAATATTTAAAAAGGAGGGGAATTTGGAAAGGATTAGAGGCATGAAGATAGGTGTTAAATTTTCTAAACCAAACTGAGGCTTTTTTCTTGAATTAGGATTAAAAGATAATTGAGGCCCAGTGCGGTGGTTCACGCCTGTAATCCCAGCACTTTGGGAGGCTGAGGGATGCAGGTCACTTGAGTCCAGGAGTTTGACACCACCCTGGCCAAACTGCAAAACCCCATTCTACTAAAAAGACAAAAAAATAAGCCAGGCATTGTGGCACATGCTTGTAATCCCAGCTACTCGGGAGGCTGAGGCATGAGAATTGTTTGAATCCCGGAGGCAAAAGTTGAAATGAGCTTAGATGGTGCCACTCACTACACTCCGGCTTTGGCAGCAGAGTGAGACTCTTGTCTCCAAAAAAAAAAAAAAAAAAAAAAGAATTGAAGTTAGAGTGTCTTTCACAGCATGTGCTATAATTCTTTTCTTTTCTTTTTTTTTTTTTTGAGATGGAGTTTTGCTCTGTCACCCAGGCTAGAGTGCAGTGGTGTGATCTTGGCTCACCTTAAGCTCTGCCTCCTGGGTTCAAGCGATTCTCCTGCGTCAGCCTCCTGAGTAGCTGGGATTACAGGCGTGTACCACTATGCCTGGTTAATTATGTATTTTTAGTAGAGATGGGATTTTGCCATGTTGGCCAGGCTGGTCTTGAACTCCTGACCTCAAGTGCCTCAGCCTCCCAAAGTGCTAGGATTAGAGGCATGAGCCACCTCACCCTGCCAATTTAATATTATTAAATGCCCAATAAAGTCTACTTAAATGCCACTATAGTATGGTTCCCCCATATTTCGAAACCTTGTTCTGATGCAATAAAAAGAGATCACACAACTCGTAGAGGCAAACCTGATTTTAGCCTCTATTGCTCTGGAACAGCAAACCAGTGCAACTCAACACATTTTCCTTGACTGCATAAAAATGTATATACCCTGTTAACCTATTCCCTAGCTTAAAATCCCATGATGGCTCTCTATTGCTTTTAGGATAAATGGGGTCACCTTAAATATGTCGTGCCTGATCCTCCTCAAAGCAGGTAAGATGTATCTGGATTTATTTTCATGTTTTAGCTGACACACTTCTTACGTTACAATTTTAGAATGAAGCGCGTAAATTAAATCACCAAGAAGTTGTGGAAGAAGATAAAAGACTAAAATTACCTGCGAATTGGGAAGCCAAAAAAGCTCGTTTGGAGTGGGAACTACAGGAAGAAGAAAAGAAAAAGGTTAGGAACTATTCTATCTTCATAAGTGATTTATTTCATAACTCTGTTATATCAAGACACTACAACATAGTGGTTGAATACATTGGCTCTTAGGCCAAGCTGCCAGAATTGAAATTCTGGCTCTGCTTGTTACCAGCTGCAACACCTTGGGTGAGTTTATTTAACTTCTCTGTACTTCTGTTTTCTCATCAATAAAATGGGGACCATAGCAATAATTATTTGAGTTAATTATGAATTAAATGAATTAATGCATGTAAAACATTTAAAACAAGGTCTGATACCTGATAAACACTCAATAAATATCATGTGTTCACTTATATACCATAGTATATTCCCAAATTTCCTTTAAATATTATTAAAGGGGCTGGGTACAGTGGCTCATGCCTGTAATCCCAGCACTTTGGGAGGCCAAGGCAGGTGGATCACTTGAGGTCAGAAATTTGAGACCAGCCTGGCCAACATGGCGAAACATCATCTTTACTAAAAATATAAAAATTAGCTGGGCATGGCGCCGTGTTCCTGTAGTCCCAATTGCTTGGGAGGCTGAGACTGAGAATCCCTTGAACCTGGGAGGTGGAGGTTGCTGTGAGCTAAGAGTTTATCACTGCAATTCAGCCTGGGAGATAGCGAGTGAAACTCCGTCTCAAAAAAAAAAAAAAAAAAAACTTAAAAAAAAAAAGTATTTATTTATTTGTTTATTTATTTTTTAAAATTTTTATTTATTTATATTTTTGAGACGGAGTTTTGCTCTTGTTACCCAGGCTGGAGTGCAATGGCATGATCTGGGCTCACTGCAACCTCCGCCTCCTGGGTTCAGGCAATTTTCCTGCCTCAACCTCCCGAGCAGCTGGGATTACAGGCACGCCCCACCATGCCCAGCTAATTTTTTTGTATTTTTAGTTGAGACGGGATTTCACCATGTTGACCAGGATGGTCTCGATCTCTTGACCTTGTGATCCGCCCGCCTTGGCCTCCCAAAGTGCTGGGATTACAGGCTTGAGCCACCGCGCCCAGCAAAAAAAAAACTATTAAAGTGTTGCTTGATATTTATTAGATCTTTGTAAATCAAATTACTGCTTGTATCATAATTGTAGGTATCAGCTTTTTTCTTCTACTTAGGAATGTTCAGCAAGAGGAGAAGATTATGAGAAAGTGAAGTTGCTGGAGATCAGTGCAGAAGATGCAGAAAGATGGGAGAGAAAAAAGAAGAGGAAAAACCCTGATTTGGGATTTTCAGGTCAGATTGACCTTTATTGAACTGTGCTTTATTGGCTGGGCTGTTAGAGAATCATTTCCTTTATTGTCTCTGGTTTCAAGAAAGGATATGCCTCTTGGCTTCCTTCATGGGATATTCTTTTCGAGGCCCAAGACCAAGAAAAGTACAAATATGTCTCTTAGGACCGAAATGAAAAAAGGCTGTACTTCAGTTAGCTGGGTTTCTTTTATTTTTTATTTATTCATTTTTTTGAGATGGAGTTTCGCTCTTGTTACGCAGGCTGGAGTGCAATGGCACGATCTCGGCTCACCACAACCTCCGCCTCCCAGGTTCAGGCAATTCTCCTGCCTCAGCCTCCTCAGTAGCTGGGATTACAGGCACACGCCACCATGCCCAGCTAATTTTTTGTATTTTTGGTAGAGACGGGGTTTCACCATGTTGACCAGGATGATCTCGATTTCTTGACCTCGTGATCCACCCGCCTCGGCCTCCCAAAGTGCTGGGATTACAGGCGTGAACCACCCTGCCCGGCCTTAGCTGGGTTTCTAAATACTTGATGGTAAAATTTATCAAAGTCTGTTCGTCAGCATCTTCAGGATAGAAGCTATACTTACAATAGTGTTTTGAGCATATGTTACTTCATACAGATTTGAGTATCCCTAGTCTGAAAATCTGAAATCCAAAATGTTGCAAAATTCAAAACTGTTTGTCAGCATGATGCTGTGATGGTTGAAGGAAATGCTGATTGGAGCATTTCAGATTTTGGATTTAAGTATAATACAGATATTCCAAAATCTGAAACAATTGAAAACACTTCTGATCCCAAGCATTTTGGATAAGGGATAATAAAGATTTTTCTCTCAATAGGAAGGTCCAAAGAAGGAAATATATCATCTCTGTTTCTCATTTTATGTTTTTAGATTATGCTGCTGCCCAGTTACGCCAGTACCATCGGTTGACCAAGCAGATCAAACCTGACATGGAAACATATGAGAGACTGAGAGAAAAACAGTAAGTCCTTTATTCATCCTGAGGTGATGTGGATGTATGTGTGTGTGTGTGTGTGTGTGTGTGTGTGTGTGTGTGTGTGTATGTGTATACATGTACATAAATAGAATCATGCTTTAATGCTGTATGAGTTATTAGGAGCTGTCTGAGGATGGTCTGTGTTTTTTCAGGATTTTTTTCCTTGTTTTTTTTTTTTTTTTTCTGAGATGGAGTCTTGGTCTGTCACCCAGGCTGGAGTGCAGTGGTGCGGTCTTAGCTCACTGCGACCTCCGCCTCCTGGGTTCAGGCGATTCTTCTGCCTCAGCCTCCCGAGTAGCTGGGATAACAGGGGCTCACCACCATGCCTGCCTAATTTTTCTATTTTTAGCTGAGATGAGGTTTCATCATGTTGGCCAGGCTGGTCTTGAACTCCTGACCTCAAGCGATCTGCCCACCTTGGCCTCCCAAAGTGCTGGGATTACAGCTGAGTCACTGTGCCTGGCCCTTTCTTGTTTGTTGTTGTTTTTTTAAGAGACAGGGTCTCGCTCGTTGCCTAAGCTGGAGTGCATTGCCACCATCATAGCTCACTGTAACCTCAAAGTTGTGGCTTCAAGAGGTCCTCCCACATGAGCCTCCCCGGTAGCTAGGATTACAGGCATGTGCCACGATTCCTGGCTAATTAACTTTTTGTAGAGGCGGGGCCTCACTGTGTTGCTCAGGCTGTCTGGAACTCCTGGACTCAAGTGATCCTCCCACTTTGACCTCTCTCACAGGGTTGAGATCATAGGTCTGAGCCACTGTGTCAGGCCTGGTCTCTGTTTTGACAGCACTGTTTATTGCTTATTTCACAGCAATTAAATTAATCACCTGTTTTTTTGTTTTTTTTTTTTCCTAAAGACTGGTAGTTTTGTTTTTTTCTAAGGCTGGTTGCTGATTGATTGTCATAGTTAGTTGTTACTGACTTACTGTTTTAGGAGGCACAATGCTTTAGTGCTGGGATTGGTGATTTTTTTTTTTTTTGAGAGGGAGTTTGGCTCTTGTTGCCCAGGCTGGAGTGCGATGATGTGATCTTGGCTCACCACAACCTCCGCCTCCTAAGTTTAAACGATTCTCCTGCCTCAGCCTTCCGAGTAGCTGGGATTACAGGCATGCACCACCATGCCCAGCTAATTTTGTATTTTTAGGAGAGAGGGTTTCTCCATGTTAGTCAGGCTAGTCTCAGACTCCCGACCTCAGGTGATCCACCCACTTCAGCTTCCCAAAGTGCTGGGATTACAGGCATGAGCCACCACGCCCAGCTGGGGTTGGTGAACTTTTTCCGTGAAGGACCAGATAGTAAATATTTTCAGCTTTGTGGGCCATATAGTCTCTGTCACAGCTACTCAGCTGTGCTGCTGCAGTGCAAAAGCAGCTGCAGAGGATTCATGAAAGAATGGGTGCGGCTGTGTCCCATTAAAATCGTTCATAAACAGGTGGTGGGCTGTAGTTTGCCAGCTTGCTTTAGTGGAAAAGAAAATAACCTCAGGATGGAGCTCTAATCCCAGCTCTGTCCCTAGCACTTTGTAACCTTTGATAAGTCCTGGAGCCTCTGCCTGTTGGCTCTTTGATCTGTAGAATGAAGGTGTTGGAGAAGATGATGTCTTAGGTTCCTTTCCATTTTGTATTTTTAAAAAAAATTAAAAAAAATTTTCTTAGTTCTCATAAGATCTGAAACAATTTTGTATTTTTAAATTTTTTTTTGAGACAGAGTCTTTTTTTTTTTTTTTTTATTGAGACGGAGTTTCGCTCTTGTTACCCAGGCTGGAATGCAATGGCGCGATCTCGGCTCACCGCAACCTCCGCCTCCTGGGTTCAGGCAATTCTCCTGTCTCAGCCTTTTGAGTAGGCTGGGATTACAGGCATGCGCCACCATGCCCAGCTAATTTTTTGTATTTTTAGTGGAGACGGGGTTTCACCATGTTGATCAGGATGGTCTCGATCTTTTGACCTTGTGATCCACCCGCCTCGGCCTCCCAAAGTGCTGGGATTACAGGCTTGAGCCACCGTGCCCAGCGAGACAGAGTCTTGCTCTGTCGCCCAGGCTGGAGTGCAGTGGCACAATCTCAACTCACTGCAACCTCCACCTCCCAGGTTCAAGGGATTCTCCTGCCTCAGCCTCCCAAGTAGCTGGGATTAAGGTGCCTGCCACCATGCCTGTAACTTTTTTTGTGTTTTTAGTAGAGACGGGGTTTTACCACGTTGGCCAGGCTGGTCTCAAACTCCTGACCTCAGGTGATGTGCCCACGTTGGCCTCCCAGAATGCTGGGATTCCAGGCATGAGCCACTGTGCTTGGCCATATTTTTATTCTTTTAATTAAAAAAAATTGTTTCTTGAGACAGAGTCTTACTTTGTTGCCCAAGCTGGAGTGCAGTGGGGTGATCTTGGCTCACTGCAGTCTCCATCTCCCAGGTTCAAGTGATGCTCCTGCTTCAGCCTCCTGAGTAGCTGGGACTACAGGTGTGTGCCACCATGCCTGGCTAGTTTTTGTACTTTTAGTAGAGATAGGGTTTTGCTATGTTGGCCAGGCTGGTCTCAAACTCCTGACCTCAGATGATCCACCTGACTTGACTTCCCAAAGTGCTGGGAATACATATGTGAGTCACCACACTGGGCCTGTGTTTTCTTAAAGAAAAAAATTGGGCTGGGCACAGTGGCTCACGCCTATAGTCAGTGCTTTGGGAAGCAAGGCAGGCGGATCACAAAATCAGGAGTTTGAGACCAGCCTGGCCAACGTGGAGAAACCTCATCTTTACTAAAGATACAAAAAATTAGCCGGGTGTGGTGGTGGATGCCTGTAATCCCAGATACTAGAAGGCTGAGGTATGAGAATTGCTTGAATTCGGGAGGTGGAGGTTGCAGTGATCTGAGACCTTGCTGCTTCACTCCAGCCTGGGCAACAGAGCAAGACTCTGTCTCAAAAAAAAAAAAAAAAAAAAAATTAAAGTAGGATCTCACAGTAAATATATGTGTATATTTTCTCTCTCATCATGAATGGTAGTTTCGTTTGACATTTGAAATGGAGCATTTATAGTGTTCCCATAAGTTCATTTTGCTGTCTTTTCAGTGGAGAAGAGTTTTTCCCAACATCTAATAGTCTTCTTCATGGAACACATGTGCCTTCCACAGAGGAAATTGACAGGATGGTCATAGATCTGGAAAAACAGTAAGTATTCAGTAGAGCAGCCTGACATTGTAAATACTTAGTGACAAAATGCACTTAGAGTATGCACCTAAATCTCGTGCTTAGAATGAATTGAAAAGATATAAATTACACTTGCTAATTTCTGATGCATCTGTAGTGGTTTGGGAGTGGATAGCAATTATGGGTTGAACATGTATGACTTGGAGTGGAGATGCAGAATGTTGATGAAATGGAATTGTTATAAATAAAGGGGAAAGGTCTAAAAAAAAAAAGGATCCTTCTTTAAGGACCTTAACAGCCACTCCTCTGTTTGATTTGAAGAAGCAAGAACATTGTAGTAAATGTTCCTCACTTATGTTTGTGTTTCTTAATTCTGATAGAGGCTACTATTACGTAGAGCAGAATGAAAATATATTAGGAGTTAATACATGTAAAGTATTAAGAATGGTGTCTGGGCTGGGCATAGTGGCTCCTGCCTGTAATCCTAGCCCTTTAGGAGACTGAAGCAGGAGGATCGCTTGAGCCCAGAAGTTTGAGAACAGCCTGGGTGACATGGTGAAACCCTGTCACTACAAAAAGAATACAAGAATTAGCTGGGCTTGGTGGTGTGTGCCTGTAGTCCCAGCTGCTTGGGAGACTCAGTCAGGAGGATCACTTGAGTCTAAGTGGTCAAGGGTGCAGTGAACTGTGATTGCACCACTGCACTCCAGTTTGGGTGACAGAGCGAGACCCTATGTCAAAAACAAAACAAAACAACAACAACAACAAAAAGTCTGGCACATATTGTGCACACAGTGTTAGCTGTGGTTATTTAATATAGTTTTTTTTTTTTTTTTCGAGATGGAGTCTCACTCTGTTGCTCAGGCTGGAGTGCAGTGGCGTGATCTCGGTTCACCGCAGTCTCTGCCTCTCAGGTTCAAGCTACCTCCTGAGCAGTTGGGACCACAGGCATCCGCCACCACTCTTGGCTAGTTTTTGGATTTTTAGTACAGATACAGTTTTGCCATGTTGACGAGGCTGGTCCCAAACTCCTGATCTCAGGTGATCCACCTGCCTCGGCCTCCCAAAGTGCTGAGATTACAGGTGTGAGCCATTGTGCCCAGCCTATTTAATATAATTATTGTTATAGTTATCTTCTTATTAAAAAAATGTATTAAAAAATTTTTTTGTAGCGATGGAGTCTCTCTGTTATCCAGGTTGGTCTGGAACTCGTAAGTTCAAGTGATCCTCTTAAAAAATGTATTTAAGCCGGGTGCAGTAGCTCAAGCCTGTAATCCCAGCACTTTGGGAGGCCGAGGCGGGTGGATCACGAGGTCAAGAGATTGAGACCATCCTGGTCAACATGGTGAAACCCCGTCTCTACTAAAAATACAAAAAATTAGCTGGGCATGGTGGCGCGTGCCTGTAATCCCAGCTACTGAGGAGTTTGAGGCAGAAGAATTGCCTGAACCCGGGAGTGGAGGCGGAGGTTGCGGTGAGCCGAGATCGCGCCATTGCACTCCAGCCTGGGTAACAAGAGCAGAACTCCGTCTCAAAAAAAAAAAAAAAAAATGTATTTAAAAATATTTTTTTATAGCGATGGAATCTCTGTGTTGTCCAGGCTGGTCTGGAACTCCTGAGCTCAAGTGATCCTCCCAAAGGACCTTTTGGGAGGCCTTGTCCTTCATAATTACTGGGGTTACAGGCATGAGCCACCATGACCAGCTAATAGTTATCTTCTTTTTTTTTTGGAGATGCAGTTTTGCTTTTGCTGCCCAGGCTGGAGTGCAATGGTGCAATCTCAGTTCACTGCAACCTCTACCTCCCAGGTTCAAGTGGTTCTCTTGCCTCAGCCTTCCAAGTAGCTGGGATTACAGGCATACGCCACCATGCCCAGCTAATTTTGTATTTCTCCATGTTGGTCAGGTTGGTCTTAAACTCCTGACCTCAGGTGATCTGCCCGCCTTGGCCTCCCAAAGTGCTGGAATTACAGGTGTGAGCCACAGTGCCTGGCCTAATAGTTATCTACTTTTAAGTGGTGCTTCGGTACAGTCGAGTTCCCAACAATGAATCATTGCTTTAGCAATCTGAAGATGAATTTGTGTTTACTGGATTTCACAGTTCATATCCTGAGTTGCGCCATTAATTCAGTTTCAACTGGAACTTGATGAAAACTGGCCTGGCTTCCTCCAGCCCCCACAACGTGTGTGATTCTAAATGTAGATTTTATTCTTTTTTTTTTTTGAGATGGAGTTTCGCTTTTGTTACCCAGGCTGGAGTGCAATGGCACGATCTCGGCTCACCGCAACCTCCGCCTCCCGGGTTCAGGCAATTCTCCTGCCTCAGCCTCCTGAGTAGCTGGGATTACAGGCACGCGCCACCATGCCCAGCTAATTTTTTGTATTTATAGTAGAGACAGGGTTTCACCCTGTTGACCAGGATGGTCTCGATCTCTTGACCTCGTGATCCACCCGCCTTGGCCTCCCAAAGTGCTGGGATTACAGGCTTGAGCCACTGCGCCTGGCCTTAGATTTTATTCTTTTTTTTTTTTTTTTTTTTTTTTTTTGAGACAGAGTTTCACTCTTGTTACCCAGGCTGGAGTGCAATGGTGCAATCTCGGCTCACCGCAACCTCCGCCTCCTGGGTTCAGGCAATTCTCCTGCCTCAGCCTCCTGAGTAGCTGGGACTACAGGCACGTGCCACCATGCCCAGCTACTTTTTTTTTTTTGTATTTTTAGTGGAGACAGGGTTTCACCATGTTGACCAGGATGGTCTCGATCTCTTGATCCTGTGATCCACCCGCCTCGGCCTCCCAAAGTGCTGGGATTACAGGCTTGAGCCACCGTGCCCGGCCTAGATTTTATTCTTAACTGTTTGGTGATGTCTTATTAAGATCAAAAGAGAAGGCAATTTTGAATTTTGTAAATTTTCTTCTTTCCTCAGGATTGAAAAACGAGACAAATATAGCCGGAGACGTCCTTATAATGATGATGCAGATATTGACTACATTAATGAAAGGAATGCCAAATTCAACAAGAAAGCTGAAAGATTCTATGGGAAATACACGGCTGAAATTAAACAGAATTTGGAAAGAGGAACAGCTGTCTAATTCCTTCAAGAACTGTTTATAGAAGCTTGAGAATGGGGTAAAAATTTCTGCTAGCAAAATCAAGTTCTTTTTGAAATTTTATCAGTAATCTAGAATTTAGTCTATGTCTTCTCACTCAGCATTTAGAAATAAAAATACCGTTTCTTAAACGTATATCCTTCCATGTATATTTCCACATTTTTGTGCTTAGATTTAAGATGTATTTCTTGTAGTGAGGTTGTTTTGTAAAAATCTACTTTGTATACATTCTAATTATATTATTTTTCTATGTATTTTAAATGTATATGACTGTTCAATCTTTGAAGCATTTTGGGCTTAAGATTGCCAGCAGCATACATCAGATGCAGTCATTGTTGCTATCATTGTTGCTATCAGTGACAGAGTCTAGACTCAGGAGCCACTCGGGGTTGTGGACTCCAAAGGTAAGGACAGTGATGAGGAAGATAGCAGTGGCTACTGGAGGGCTGCAGCAGTCCCTCCTTGTGGCGGCCTGTGACCAAGGTTAGGGAGGAGTGAGCTATCCCCTCATGATACTGAACATGTATAGTTCCCTTTTTGAAAAGCAATAAAATGCTTTGGATTAGAATTCCTAACATTTTTTGTGTATCATTTAAAACACATGTTTGTATGTATACATTTGTATATTACACATACATGCTTCCATTCTACAAATACTGAAAGAACGTTTTATTGTGGGAAATTTCAGTACCCTTGTTGAATCCCATATACTTAGTACCCTGTTCAGCAATTACCAACTCAATGGCAATCCTGCTTCATCTTTACTTCTATCCACTTTCTCCGTCATGACTCTTACTTGGATGCAAATATCCTATATATAAGTTCATCTATAAATATTTTAGTATGTATCTCTGAAAGATAAAGAAAATGACCACAACACTATTATCACTTCAATAGATTTATTTTCGTAAAACTCCAGAGAAAGCCAGACATGGTGGTGTGTGCCTGTAGTCCCAGCTACTCAGGAGGCTAAGGCTGGAGGATTGCTTGATTACAGGAGTTCTGGGCTGTAGTGCCCTATGCTGATTGGGTGTCTGCACTAAGTTCCGCGTAAATATGGTGACCTTCTGGGAGTGGGGGACCACCTGGTTGCCTAAGGAGGGGTGAACCTGCCCAGGTCAGAAACAGAGGAGGTCAAAACTCCTGTGCTGATCAGTAGTGGGATTGCGCCTGTGAATAGCCACTGCACTCCAGCCTGGGCAACATAGCAAGACCCCGTCTCTTAAAAAAAAAAAAAAAGAAAAAAACTCCAGAGAAAGAATTATTTTTTCTATGTGTTGAATTAAATGCTAAATATCTAATTGGGATATTTTAAATTCAAAGAAATCTGAAGCTCAGAAAATTTCAAATATTGGCTGGGTGTGATAGCTCACACCTGCAGTCCCAGCACTTTGGGAGGTCGAGGCAGGTGGATCACTTAAGATCAGGAGTTCGAGACTAGCCTGCCCAACATGGTGAAACCCCATCTGTACTAAAAATATAAAAATCAGCCGGGTGCGGTGGCAGGTGCCTATAATCCCAGCTACTAGGGAGGCTGAGGTAGGAGAATCGCTTCAGGGAGGTAGAGGTTTCAATGGGCACTGCACTCCAGCCTGGGTCACAGAGCAAGACTCTGTCTTAAAAAAAACAAAACAAAATTCAAATACTTCAACTTAGTGTTTAAAGACAATATAACATATGATGCCATTGGTGATTAATAGATTAATTATTCTCTTTAACATAGCACTTTAGAAAAAAATTCTGTTCTCCCTCTTTTTCCTGTTTCCTCTCCTGGCATTTCTTTTTCTTTTTTTCATACCCAACTGCAACATGAAAAAGAACATAACAGAAGGTTATTTATTTTTTTGTAGAGATGAGGTCTCACCATGTTGCCCAGGCTAGTTGCGAACTCTTGGGCTCAAGCAGTCCTGCCTTGGCCTCCTTAAGTGCTGGGATTATAGGTATGAGCTGCTGAGCCCAGCTCCTCTCCTGGCATTTCTATGTGCATTTAATCAGATCTATTGTGAAGCCTTGATGCCTCACGATAGCCTTAAAAAAATCTTAAAAATATTGTTGAGTAGAACATGGCAATGTAATTAAAAGAACAACTCACTGTGACGAAGCAGAGTTTGTTCTAAGACTGCAGGAGTAGTGTGTAGATTATGAGTTGCCTGGTTTAATTCTTCGTTAACCAACCAGCACCCAGAGGTTTTTGTGAATTTGTGGTAATATTTCCAGATAAACACTTGGTTCCCCAGCTTGACTTCTTATAGGTGGTCAGATGTTATAATTCTGGCTAATAGGACACAGGCTAACTTCCTCTTGAGAAACCTTTTCTTTCCTGATGTGGGAGGAGGTGCTCCGCCTCCTTCTTCCTTCCTCCTTGGATCACATCCAGGAGCCCTGGAGTTGCAGAAGCCTTTTGTGTCATGAAGTAGCCAGCATGAGGATAAAAGCTAACATGAAGAGAGAGTGGAGCAGAGCTTGTGTCGCAGTGCTGAGCATCTGCACCTGGATGCCCACTTCTTTTCCCCTTACTTCCTGTTGAATAAATGTATTAGGCTGGTGCAAAAGTAATTGCGGTTTTTGCCATTTTATTTTTATTTTTATTTTTATTTCTTTTTGAAATGGTCCAGGTGAATACTATTTTTTTTTTTTTTTTTTTTTTGAGGTGGAGTCTTGCTCTATTGCCCAGGCTGGAGTGCAGTGGTATGATCTCAGCTCACTGCAGCCTCCACTTCCCAGGTTCTCCTACCTCAGCTTCTCAAATAGCTGGGATTATACGTGCCCACCACCACACCCGGCTAATTTTTGTATTTTTAGTAGGGACAGGATTTTGCCATGTTGGCCAGGCTGGTCTCAAACTCATGACCTCAGGTTATCCACCAGCCTCAACCTCCCAAAGTGTTGGGATTACAGGTATGAGCCACCGTACCTGACCTTTGCCATTACTTTTAATAGCAAAAAACCGCAATTTCTTTTGCTCCAGCCTACCTATGGATGGTTCAATTTCAGGGAAAATGTCAGCAAATTAAATGTAAATGATAGCAAACATCAGTAGTTTTTCTCCACTCTAGAAATAAGTACCTAGAAATGGAGAAGGGGAGGAAATAGTCCATTTATAATAGCAACAAAAATGATATTTAGGCATGAATTTAATGAGAAAGCACATGATCAATGTGAAGATGATTGAGAGAGTAAACAGGGCCAGGTGCAGTGGCTCACACCTGTAATCCCAGCATGTTGGGAAGCTGATGGAAGTGGATCACCTTAGGTCAGGGGTTTGAGACCAGCCTGGCCAACATGGTGAAACGCCGTATCTACTAAAAATACAAAAATTAGCGAGGTGTGGTGGCACGCACCTATAATCGCAGCCACTTAGGAGGCTGAGGCAGGAGAATCGCTTGAACCCGGGAGGCAGAGGTTGCAGTGATTTGAGATTGTGCCACTGCACTCCAGCCTGGGAGACATAGTGAGACTCTGTCTCAAAAAAAGAAAAAAGAAAAAAACAAAAAAACCCAGTAAACAGGAGACTTCTACATCAAACCAAGATGGACTAACAAAGAATGGGTTTACTTTCCCAGTGGAACAAACAAACAAATAAAAAAGGATGGCATATATGCAACAACAGTTTTTAAGATACTGGAAACTAGACATAGAAGAGTTATTCCCTGGGAAGAGCCAGCTATGATTGCCCCACTGAACTCTGGAGAACTTTTGGGCTGCGTAGACTGTGGTGTGTGCACAGAGAACCCAGAGGAGCCCAGTACACTCCCTTAGTTGAGGAGCTAGAGCTGAAAGTCTAGAGGGACCAAGGCAACAGCTCGCAGCACAGAGCACTGGGGAGAAGAGAGCTGCGCAGAGAACTCGGAAGACTGTCGCGGGTCCCCTCAGATACTAGGCAGAGTACTGAACAGCATGTGTAGGTGAGGAACTCCTAGAGGCTAGGGAAAGAACGACCTGGAAGGATTAGAGGGGAGAGGACCTGGCACTGACGGCCAGGGATAGTGCTTTCCCCACTAGCCAGAATGGAAAACTTCATAATTCATGGGCATTGGGTAGAATACTGAAAAGGTTCTTGCCTCAGCAGTGAATAATTAGCCCTAGGCTAAACACTGCTTGAGTCTTGCCCAACAAATCTTCAAAGACCGGAAAGAATCCAACTGTTTGCAAATAATTCAGCTGCATTCCAGAACAAAGACCAAGAATAATTATAAAAAACACAGAAACCTTCAGTACCCAACAACGTCACATTCACGAGAAACAGGAAGACAGGGCCCATAAGGAGAAGAAAAATGAGCATGTAACCAAGAATTGATGCAAATGCTGGAATTAGAGGCAAAGAAATGGAAAGTTATCACCGTACTCCATATGATTGAAAAGTTAAAAAGAGACACGGGAGCCGGGCGCGGTGGCTCAAGCTTGTAATCCCAGTACTTTGGGAGGCCGAGGCGGGTGGATCACGAGGTCGAGAGATCGAGACCATCCTGGTCAACATGGTGAAACCCCGTCTCTACTAAAAATACAAAAAAAACTAGCTGGGCATGGTGGCACATGCCTGTAATCCCAGCTACTCAGGAGGCTGAGGCAGGAGAATTGCCTGAACCCAGGAGGCGGAGGTTGCGGTGAGCCGAGATCGCGCCATTGCACTCCAGCCTGGGTAACAAGAGCGAAACTCCGTCTCAAAAAAAAAAAAAAAAAAAAAAAAGAGACACGGGATATAACAAAGACCCACACTCAGATTCTTGACATACACATGACAGTTTCTACAATGGGAGATGCACTGCACGATTTAACTGCAAATGACACATCACAGAAGAGATTAGTGAACTTGAAGACAGAGCAACAGAAACCATGCAAAGTTAAGCAGAGAGTAAAAAGAATGAACAAATAGGAACAAAGCCTCCGTGAACCGTGGGACTCTGTACATGTGATCTGGAGTTTCTCAAAGGCAGGAGGGCAGACGCTGCTGCCCATGGAAGGCTCTAGATCTCAAGTCTGATCTCTGTTCAAATATGAGCAAATATGAGAGGTGAACGAAAGATATGTTAGCACCAAGTTGAGGCTTTCTTCTGGGGACTGACTGGGCAACAGTGAAGAAGAATTGCCAAGGGCCTGACTGTCTCAGGTGTGCCTACCTGTGAGCCACAGCGAGCCCTTTGGAAAATGCTGTGCCCACAGCATGGAGAGGTTTGGTTTCAGTCCTTCCTAACCTATCTGTGGGGCTGACAAAGTCGGGCACTTAAACAACGAAACAGGTTCTATTTGGGGGGAGGTAGAGGAGAGTGGTGGAAATGGAAAGGGGGGTGCTCTCTCTCTCTAGGTGAATGTGGCTGGGGACAGGGATGATGTTAGGCCACCGTGACTCTCACCTGACTGCTGCTGAGTCCTCGCCAGCCATTGCGTATTCCAAGGGAAGAAGGGCGGCTCTGTTCGCCCCCAGCTGCAACAGTCCTGGCTAATTCTGCTCCTCTCATGGTGCTTTTCTCCGTCCCTGTTCCTGCCCATCACGGCAGGCTTGCCTCCCCATCGGCCCTTTTTCTCCAAGGCTGTGACATCTTGGTGAAGATGCCTACCTCATTAGCCCACTGATTTC